GCGACGACAGCGCTGCGTCTGTTATGCGGCTATTGTTGTTGTATTTTGATTATTATTGGGGCTGCTGCTGCTGACGGACCACTTGAAGTGGTTGTTGTTGTATGTGTTGTTTTTTCTCCGATGAGAAAGAAAATAGAAAACAAAAAATTATACCGGGTAGCAGGCTCATACGTTGTTATTGCTATTTTCTTAATTCTTTTATTTTATTCTTCCCTTTTTTCCGTATGCCTTCCTACTTTGCACAAAGTAGAAAAAATGAGCCAGACAACAAAACGAAATAACTTTGGCAAGGCTAATTGGCGAGATGACAGTTGTCAGACAGAGGACAGTTTGAATAGTTGTGCTTCCTCTTTGTTGTCTGTTGTACAATCAACCAATCAAACAAACACGACGACAGGTGCACACGGCAATGGCGATATACTGCAAAATGCCGAAAAAACTATTGAAAGCACACTTTAGTCACTTCAACAAATCACATAATTTTATATTTTTTTCTTCAATTATTTCGTTAATTTTAAATAATTAAGGAAATTCTTTGATTTTCTTTACACTTAAATACAAAACATCCGTCTATCATCCACGAGAACACTGAAATGACGGCCAAGTTTAGTCAAACACAAACGACGATGTTAAAACTTCATTTGCAACACTCGCACACACACTGATGTACACATATAATTGGCGCTCTTGCTCTCTCTCTTTTTGGCACAAAACAACACACGAGAACTCATTGAGAGATAAACACTTTTTGGGGGGAAAAACAAAACACACTGTGCAAATGGAAAAGGTTTCTTTGATTCTTTGCTCTCATTTCTCTATCTCATGCAAAAATTTTCTTTTTTGTTTCTTTTGTTAAATCCAAAAGCAAACATTTTTTGTTGTTATTCTTTCACTTTTTGATAGCGTTTTACCAATCGTTTTTTTCAGCGGCTTTATTAGTAGCTTCACGTTGCCCAATTTCTCTTATTTGATTAGAAAAATCTAATTGGAATATTTGCTTTTAATTTTATTTTGTTGTATTCTTTAGATTTTTGTCTGGCTACACTGCAGTGTTATTTGCAAAGTTATTGCTGAGTTGGGACTTTTGACTTGGAGATTAGCATGGACATTTTTCCGTACGCGAACCGACCGTTGAACGCCGCACACACAACACAAATAAAACTGTTTAATTCTCCACTCCAACTAAACAACAACACCACAACTCAAAGATAAATAATGGGTAACAAATACTTGGGCACTGCCAGATGAAAATATTGAAAAACTAAGGGGGAATCTTGAAATATAACGTACGGTATGATGGCAAGATGTGTGTGACATTGCCAGAGTGAAAAATGAAATACATTAATCTGTTTACATGGAAACGTGGTTTGGAGTCAGCTATGGTAGAAAAATACAGGTAGATGCATCGACGCATCTGCTGAGACAATCAACTGTCAAACCGACTTTGAAATTAAAAATGTTGAAAGAAAAATTGTTGATATTTGTAAAAAAAGTGCATATAATAACAACCTCCAATTTGTGTCGTATAAGAAACCTTATATAAATCTACTTATTGTATACAAAACATTTCAACAATTTTGTCATATCAGTGTTCCCAAGCGTTGATGCTTCTACCTATATTCTTCTAACATGGAGTCAGCATAGAAATCTTACATAAGTGCCTTGTTTCTATATTTTTATTATACGCTACACCTTGCAAAGTAGGGTACATTCGTCGTAGACCCCATAAAGTATGCATATTAATAATCAGCATAAAATTCTAAGTCGACTTAACGATGCTCGTCTATCTGCTTGTCTGTTGAAATTACGATACACCCCACATTATTTGGCGTAGAGTTTCAAAATTTGGTACAAAAATTTATTTTGTTCCTAAGATGGTTGGTATTAAATATGAGATATATCCGCCTACGATTTATTATAGCCCCCATATAATCGGAACTCCCGATATTCGGTATTTTTATGGTTTTAGTCACATTTGTTACGGATTTGTCCAAAAATTGGCACTTGTAGTCCGTAATGGTTTCTGTCTTTGGCGGCGGAACATTGTATATATACGTCCACGTTTTTGTATAGCCTCCATATAACGGTGTATCCCAATATTCGGTTTTTTGATGATTTTTGTCGAATTTTTCCACGGAATGGGTAGCTACAGTACCTATATCCTCGTTTTCCTATTGCGTACATATAAGGGTCTGCCTGTTTGGCGTGTAAAGTCAGAATTACTATCAAAACAATAAAAAAACCGAATAACTTGTTGCATTGATTTTGATCAAATAATTGAAAACCGCGAAAACTGAATGAAAGGTCAACATTTCTTTTCAAAATCATGTTCTTTATATCTCTAAAGGTTTATTTCGCTAAAAAAACTACAACTTAATTATTTATTACTGGTTTTTATCCGGCAGTTTTGGCCAGATTATTTTTAGAATGAAAATAAGATTTTATTTCATTTTTTGCACGACGTTTCGTTGGTTTTTTTTTCAACATTATCAAGAGCTTATTTATTTGTAATTTTTAATTATTTGTCATTATTATCTATTACTATGCATTAAAAACTGGACTCCACGGACACGCATCTGCCTGTATTCTTGTACAACAACCACATGCAAATTTGTTTTTGTACGTAATACAGAGTTATGTGTCCAAAAATGTAAACAAAATAATTAATTTTCAATAAATTATTTTAATTTCAAAAATATAAATCTTTGGAATTTGGATTATTAAATTGAAAATGCAGAAGAATGATTCTTAAAATATTTAATTTTAAGGCTTTCACATCATTCCCCTGAATGTATAGTTGTTAGCTGTTGGTTCTAATCTCTCAACTCTTGAAGCAATCGCGAGAAAATCGTGGAAAATGCAACATCCCTTTAAAGTTGAAACCAAACAGCATGGGAAACATGAAATATACGAATATGTTATCTAACGTGGTGGCGCTGTTCCTCAACCGCAGAAAAGGTTTCCGAACCATCGCCTTTAGCGTTTTATTAAGTACAACGGCAATTGTTTCTATTATTAGGCAAAAAATATGTTCACATTGCCCTGCAGTGAAATTTTATAGCAATAAAGGGTATACCCATTGTATATCAAGAAATGGAATTAAATCGCAAAACGTCATATCGAGTTTGACACTGGTATTACTATAGAGCTAAATCAGCTTGGACTTGCAGTTACCTGTAATAATTACAACATGTTAGACAACAGAAGTTTTGTTATTGTATATTCGAAAACACAGTTGCCATTGAGTAAAAAAATTTCATGCAAATTTCAAGTTACTAAAAATTTTTTATAATTATAACAAAAACAACAACTTTAATTATTAACAAGGCATAACATTAATGATTTCAGTTCATTTCTAAGTTTAGTTTTTGTTAAACTTAAGTTAAATATGTTTTTTCTGCAGCTGTTAAGCTATGTGGAAGGCACATTTAATTAAAAATAAAGTCAGTCAATTCTTTAAAGCTAAATTCATTAAGTCATTTTTTTATGGAACTTATTTTTTGCCAGAATTAAAAAATATCATTGAGATAATTTTCTAACAGAGTAAGACGTGTGCAATGTGTAATTAATATATCATAATTATGTTCATTTAAATATGAAAAATACGGTTCCGATAATTTTTTGTTTCTTTAATACTTTTCCGCTTCACTACCAATAAATACTTCCAGTGTAGGCAACATGCCTTTTAAATGCAGCGCTAACCACCTAGTTAAGGAAAGTCCCGGCCATGGTAGAAGAATGTAGGTAGACGCATCGACGCAGCTGCTGGGACAATGAACTGTCAAACCAATTTTGGAATTGAAAATGTTGAATGAAAAATTATTTAAATTTGTAAAAATTGTTGAAAAACGCAAATTATAATAGCCTCCGAATGACGTAGTATAAGAAAACATATAAAAATCTACTTATATTTGAAAAAAAAAAACATTTAAATTTTTTGACATATCAATGCTCCCAAGCGTTGATGCATCTACCTGTATTCTTCTGCCATGGTCCCGGCAGTTCATGCGGCTCGGAATTACAATGCTCTTAAAGTACGTTTACAGTATTAAAGGTTAACCCAGTGGGTTTTATAGATCTAGTGGGTTAACCCTGCTTGTTGCATATACCGTTGAGAGGGTATAAAGTTAAAATGGAAAAAAATTGAAATTTTCGAAAACCTTTTTATCCAATGTTGTGCTCAAATGCAGAAAAACAGATAATATCTGCAATATATTAATTTTGAACAAAAGAAAATTTTGTTCAAAATTATAATTTTAATAAAAAAAACGTAGCGAACAGCATAACAGTTTAAAAGCGTCCAGGAGAATATGGAAATTCGTAAGTCCTGCCTTATTTTGTTACTATCCGGTTGATACATTCTATCTCGTTTTCATATAAATAATGCAGGAACGGCAAGGGAAATTCTTTGAATTGGATATACCCAGATGTACAGACAGTTTTTTTAAAGAAAGCTTCCGGATGATTCGAGAATGTTTTGGAATCCTATGTCAACGACTCCGTTCCATAGAAAAGCGGGACACTACTTTCATGAAGCGCATTCCAATAAAAAAAGGGTTGCTATAGCTTTGTAGTACACTTTGAGGTCTTCCACCGAATACGCTAGAATAGGACGCCTTTTTGGCGCATCCAAAGCTACTGTCTGCGTCATATTTAATGAGTTTTGTGTAAAGGTGTGGGAAGTATTATCATCGGACTACCTACCCAGCAACATTGTTACAGAGAGCAAGATAGATGAAAATGTCAAAGGATTCCAAGCAATGGACTTTCCTCAATGCATTTTAATTAAAACTATTTATAAAAATTATATATAAAAAAGAGAAAAATTAAAGCAAATAAAAATGCAATAATAAGAAATTTAAGTATATTGTTTTCTTAATTTCCAAAAAAAATTAGACAAAAAAACTTAACAAAAACAAAAAATGAACAAACATTATTTGTAGTAATGTACTACATTTTAGTACTTTTCGTACATATCAAACACTCCATCAGTGATCCTCATGCTAAATCTAAGAGTTCTAATTTACTGGTTCATCAAATACAAAGGGTATCATATTCAGTACTTTTCCTAACGAATTTCCAACTATTCCAACCTTATTTGACCACTTCGGACCAAGGGTGATCCTCAACCAAAATGTCCAGTTTTATTAATGTAGATATCACACTAAAGTAATGGTATATATTAAATGTTTTTATTTTAAATAAGATTGAAAAAGGAAGTAAGGTAGTATTTAAATAATAATAATGAATTATATTCGTCTGTGCATTTGTATTAAAGAATACATTAATGTAATAGCTAAAATTCTTAAAAAAAGCATAACAATTTTTAGTGATATTAATTAATTTTTTGATCAATGTATTTATACTACAAAAAAAAATATCCTTTAAAAATGTGCGTCAAAAAATCAAGTACTTGTAATTTACTTGGAATTATTATTTTTAAAAATATCTACAAATTCCTTAAGGATTTCGTTCCGCTCTTTTTCGGTCTCAGCAATGACTTTTTGTATATTGAGTCCTTTTTCAGTTAAATTATTCATGTATTTAACACACTCTACTAACTCCTTGTTAGTAGCTTCTATATTTTGTTTAATTATTTTAGTATTTTCTTTGTCACTTTTCTTCGCTCTTTTTGGTTTTGATTCTTCAACAGGAACTTCCATATCGCAACTTAAAATTTTAATACACTCAATAGATTCATCATCGACAAATTCCACAAAAGGCGTATCTACAAAAAATGCATACCATCAGGCAATATCTTGGTATGTTAACGCTAAGCCGTACCAATACCAACATTATTGTTAACATTTATTTGCACTTTTCAGTCATAATATTGCGTTTTACTTTTATCGGTTTGTGTCGGTAACTCCGAAAAAGGTTACCTAAATCCACTAAGGGTAGCAAAATGCAGATTTATTTACCGAAATACAAGATTGTTGTATTTTGGAATAAAAACTATATGCATACATACACGTTTGTATATTGTGGAATTTGTATCCGCCAAGTATTCCATGCACCCGCTCATACAAACACCAGTTTGAAGGCGATCCACTAGAAGGGCCAATTTCCTTCTTTTCTTCACTGAAAAGAAAACATTATGTCAATACTTTAGAATATAATAAAGGGAAACATTGAACTTTAATAAGATATATAATATAAAGTTATGTGAGGACCATAACAAAACGTGGGCCTATGTGGTCCATCGATACCTACTTCCTTTAGTTCGAAATTGATTCACGGACAGACATACAGACACTAAATCGACACAGAATTGTATGCTGATCAAGAATATATATACATCGTGGGGTGTAAACAACCACAACAACCGGTCAAGAGGAAAGAACCACCCCAATTCGTATTGGACAAGAATTGATTGCAAAATATGGTGCAGGTCAGTATAAAGACTGCATCTTCATCAACATATCTTATCGGTATTTGTTTGTAATATTGTGTATTTTGTTTTTTACTTCTTCCCCATCATAGATAAAACCACTTGCTGCCAATTCTGTGGACATCTCACTATATATGTGAGAGTTTTTACGCACGCCTCTGATTTTCGGAAGAATTTTTTCCTATATGGACAGTAATATGTCTTCAGCATCTATCGACCACCGCTTTCTTTTTCGCCTGATCAATTTTCTGTAAACAAAAAAGATCATTGGTGTTATTCTTATGTTTTTATATTTACTTACCTTTCTGCACATTCGTTTTCCATATTATAATTCCTTTTTTTTTTGAAATATTCAAAACTATTTTCTTTTGGTTATGCTTGCTAACGTTTGACACAAATGAGGGAAATGTAAACAAATAGTTTATAGAAACACTTGATACATACGGTATTTTAAAAAACAGTTGCATTTTTTTCGTATTAATCAGTGTTGCAAAACATTAGTATCAAAATTTTGTGGAAGATTTCAAATAAATCTGGTTATGAGTAGATTTAAATTTGTGTGACAAATCTTGTTGAATAAATCCAGATTAAGCAAATATATCTTGATAACAAGTAAGCAAAGGCTACAGTCGAGCGGGGCCGACAGTTGAATACCCTACAACACTATAATAAACGATACAGTTTATATAGGCGAGATATCGAAAGAATTCCACAAGATATTGTAACAAATAATAAAAGAAAACCATCAGGTTTCGTTCTCTAATTTTCGAATAATAGCAACTTAAACTAATTTGCTGCGTTAACGAAATAGTCAGAAGCGCGCCTTTCCTGTATTTGTGAATTCTCCAAAAAGTCACTGGAATGGACATTTTCGTATTTTGTCTACAAAAGTTGGCAAACTATTTCACACATTGAATATTTTTGGATGCCCATCCAAAACTACTTGGCTTTTGTAATGTCCGGTAACCCCCATTCAAATGTGCGTGAGAATCGGGCCTGCAGACAATTTGGGGAATACGACCTGCAGACAATTTGGCAGTTTTTTGGTCCATTTCAACCCCTAAATATATGGCGATCATCTCCAAAAAGAGTAGGCTTCTATTCTGACCCTCATCTTATCTCCATGCAAAATTTCGTAAGGATCGGGCCATAAATGCGATCTGTATATGATATCCTGATATCCTAACTACTTAGTTTTGTTAGCTGTAGAAATATTACCAAATGCTTAATTCAAAATGAAAATGTGCCAAAAATATGACAAAATTGAAAAAATATGAGAAAATTTTACAAAATCAATATTTTCATCTTTAGAGAGATATTTTTATGTGATTTTTTAGACGTTTTTTCCTTCCTGCCATTCAGGCCATTCTGAATTAATGAGAACTGTCGAAATCAGTTCAGCCGTTCTCGACATATAAGAGATTTTTCAAGCATATCTTCTTTGATAAACATATATATCGCACATATTTTGCTATATATCCATTTTGTTGGATGTTAACATCAATATAAAGATCAGAAGTAACCTTGTCATGACTTTGTGATTTCGCCGGAATTTAAAATATTCGCGGTTTAATGAAAAATTTTGAATTTTTTCAACACAAAAGATATGGTCTATTTTACCCGCTAAATATTATCCGATGACCACTCAAATTGGTAGGCTTCTTGCCCGCCCTAAACTCTAGCTACATGCGAAATTTCGCGTCGATTGGTCTATAATTGCGGCCTGTATAGCTACTGCAAAATCCGACATTTTTTCAGTATTTGATCCATTTCAACCCCTAAACATTTGGCGATCATCTCCAAAAGAAATAGGGTTCTATTCTGACCCCAGACCCACCTCCATTCTAAATTTCGTGAAGATCGGGCCATAATTGCGACCTGTAGAGTGATTACAAATTAACATGGACAGACGGACAGACGGACGGACGGACATACATAGCTAGATCGACTCAGCTCGGCGAGATAGGATGATCCATATATACTTTCCTATGTGGGAAACCAATATTTCGAGGTGTTACATAATTTTTGGGCCAATCAAACTTATAATACCCCCAACACATAGTGTTGTAGGGTATAATAAGGGGTTATCCAGAAAAATGCTTTAATATAAACATGCTATTAAATTCTTAAAATTCGTTGATTCTTTTAGAACTATGGTCGAAAAAATTTTACAGTTTTCTGCTCAGATTTTCAAGATTCAGTGTCAGTCATCAGGATGCGCAGCTTCAACACAAGTACAATGAATGGCATGTACATTTTATATATAAAGGAATCTGTGTCGCACTTAAGTTTTGCTTTTAGCCATTTAATTCTCCAGACATTGTGCTTGCTCCATCCGTTGCTAAACCAATTAGGTTTTAAATGGGTATATTATTCCTATCGAAAAAACATTTTGTTGTTTCATATATGAAATTCGCGTCAACTTGAACCAATTCCAATAAAGATAAAAACCTGTCCTTGATTGAGTAAAAATTTTGTCAACACTCACGACCAATACCAAGCATTTACGATCCGATACGTCCGTTGTTTCATCCACAATAAATGGTAATTTTGTGGACCCCATCGTGGATGTTATGTTTCTCAAGAAAACGGCTGCTTTCACTCCGAACGAAACTTTCTGGTTCTCTTTGTATTTTTCTCATAATTTCTGTAAGAAATATGCACCATGTCAAATAATTTTTTATCGATGTTCCTTGGAAGATTCATGTCCACCGTCACTGCCCGGCCAGTTTATGCTTTTTAATGATAAATCTAGACGAATATTTATTTCAATATATCTATATATATAAAAGAAAGTTGTGTTAGTTACTACGCTTATAACTTAAGAACCGCTGGACTGATTTTAACGATTCAAACAAATTCGGAATTTTCTCCTCTCCGAAAAGGATAATATCCAAAAAAATCGCGGAAAAATGTGATATTTTAACATTTTCATTTTGACTTTTGAAATGTACAATAGTAATGTTTTATTTTGCATGATTTTTTTCCATTTTTACTTACTTTTTTCTAATGTACATTTGTAGTGTTTTTTATATATTTTTTTTTTTTTGAATTCAAATATTAATACCAATTTATTTAATTGACTTGATTTCTTGAGAAATGAAATTGATGGCGAGTTACATGGAAGCTTAGTACCGAATTATGTGTGGCGAAACGGAATAGATGATGTCGAAATAATTTAATGGAATCGAATTTTAAAATAGAAGTACATTCTATTGACAAACTATATAAGGATCTTTAAACATTTGCTGTAAAAAAATCAGCGAACAAGTTGAAGATTTTTTCAATGTGTTATTCTTCTTTTGTCAATTTTTTTTTCAATTTGTATTATCTAATTGAATTCAGTAAATTTTTTGCGAATAAAATAAAGAATAATTTTTCACTATATACAAATTTTCACCAAAAAATGAAATAAGTGGAAAATACGATGACAACTGACATCTACCTTTCAACTCCAGGGCCGACATCGTGGTTCAGCTGGAAGCTGCGAACACATTTGAACAAACAAAAATTGCCGGAAAAGCCTAATGGGGATCATTTCAAAGCGTGGAACTACTCCTTTCCTGTCACAATAATCCGTCCAATGTACAATCAGAAAAATACCAAATATAAAGGGTGGAAAATAGTAGAGCGAATGGGACTTTTAGTAAGATAAAGATTTCTATCCTTCCAGAAATTCTTCCCAAACATTCAAGATAGGTCATGATATCGATCATAACTCACGGATAAGGGACACCGCGATTTCATATTTATGTAACCATCGTATGATTTAAGCTATTTTTGGTGTCTTGGCTATTTTTTTAATATTTTAGCCATTATTTGGCATTTTTGTTTCTAAGGAGGTAGAGAACCTCTTCGCATAAAGTTTGAAATTTTCAGAGTAGGGCTCATTTTGGTCTTGACCACATTCATTAATTGACTTGGCTAAAGGTTGTATTTATGCTACTCTGGGGTAGGGAACCATACAGATAATTGCCACATAGGAATTTATTTAAGTAAAGTCCCCACATTGGCGTATTCCCAAGTCCACCTTCACATCTAATTGGTGGTCAGAAAAAAAATGTTGTTTTCTATTGAATTTGTAACCCCCAAGAGAATATTGGTTGGGCCACGTTTTGGTATAACCCTTATATAAATGTATCCCTGACCTGACAGCTGTGACCGTGGTCTTGGCCACGTTTTTCAACTGATTTGGCCATTATTTGCTGTATTTAGGCTACTTTGTGAGTAGAGAACCATCTTACAGAAAAATGTCAACATACGTAAATATTTTGGTACAGTCACCATATAGTCCCCAGGCCCGCCGATCTATGGTGATGTTTACCGATTGGCGGATAACAACGCGGGTATTGTTTAATCGTTATTGAATTTTACCATGAACAAGAACATAGACTTTTTGGGGACTCTAATGCGCAATTTGAGGTGCTATGGTAATGGGTGTAAAAGCGTAATTAACTTTGACTATTCAGAAATTATTTTGCCCTCCTTCCATAGTTATTTATTTCTATTTAGTCGAATCAATATTTATATTAAAATTTGTTCACCTTTATGAGCTAGATTTGTGAAATATTATGCTATGCAAAATTTGCATTAAAGACTAAAACTACGGGCCGGCAACGCGGACCGGGCCAGCATGGACCGACATGGTTAGGGGGACTTATGAGGACTCTGATGCACAATCTGAGGTGCTAATGGGTTTAAAAGAGTAATTAACTTTGGCTATTCTTAAATCAATTAGCCCTCAATTATGAGGTGTACAAAGTACAGTAAATTCCAAATTACTGCTCATTTGACTAAAAATTAAAAACTAATCGACCAGTTCGTGAACATTTATAACATTCTTATCTATGAATAATTATGCTTTGAAAAATATGCATAATAGACAAAAACTACGGGCCGGCAACGCGGACCGGGCCAGCTAGTTTGTAATAAAAGAGTAATGTTTATACTTACTTATTCATGCTGAACACAAGCTGAGAAATATTTTTAATTTGTTCACAATTTTCATACTTAGCTTAGACTTATTTTGTTGCGACAATTTTCAAAGATAGTGTGTATTAACAAACAATAGATTAAAGTCGAAACCAAGGTTATCAGCACAGCATGCATATGTAATAGAGGTGAGTATATGACGCAGTTAAATAATTTGGTGTAACTTCACATAGTTGTTGATGGGAAATTGGGAAAATGATAAAATCTTGATTTTACATCTTAAAAGTTACCAAGTACCGGTTCTGAAAAAAAGTTACCCATTATGGTAGAACTCTAACAAATGTGGCAACAGTGTTTACAAACTATGGCTGGGGTGGGTTCACATTTTTTGGTATCTCTTCCACAAATGTTGAAGAAAAACGATTATATTCAAATGCGAAATCTGAGCCCAGTTTTCCTAAAAATGCCTAATATTGATACAAATATGAAATTAAGTGTGCAGATAGAAATATATCGGTTCACTATTTCTGGTACCTCCCACACACAGTTGAAATCTTTTGAAACTATTGAAATAAAAAAATGAGCAATATAGTATTAAGA